CTCTCTCTCTCTCTCTCTCTCTCTCTCTCTCTCTCTCTCTCTCTCTCTCTCTCTCTCTCTCTCTCTCTCTCTCTCTCTCTCTCTCTCTCTCTCTCTCTCTCTCTCTCTCTCTCTCTCTCTCTCTCTCTCTCTCTCTCTCTCTCTCTCTCTCTCTCTCTCTCTCTCTCTCTCTCTCTCTCTCTCTCTCTCTCTCTCTCTCTCCTGGCATCCTACTCCACGTAGCTCTTCCGTCTCTCTCCATATCCCATTCTCTACTGCTCTACTCTCCTTCTCTCTGCTTGCATCGTTCCCATCACCTTCTCGTCTATCTAGCATGCAAAAGCGGCAGGCTACAGCTACAGCTACAGCTACGACCACGCAGAACATGGGTCCATGCTGATTCATCGTGTCTATACCCAACATATTCTTAAATTCTCACACAATTGTCGACAACCAAAGATTTTACTTACATTCTCGAAGTTCAAGAAAAAGACGCACCTGGTTTTTGAAGGAGCCCGGAGCGACGGCCTTGTAGATCGGGCCGAGATGTGAAGCGAGCGATTGCATTTTGTCTTCCACCTCCGTCTCCTGATGAAAGAAACAAACATAAAATCGCAGGTGAAATGTATAAAATGAAGAAAGAACTGGCAACAACACGATAATACTTCACACATCTTTGATATGTGTTATATCAGTGTTTAGTTGTTTTTTTGTGCGTGTCATTTTACAATGTCGTGTAATACCAATTTACACGTAACGAAATATAGAATGTCGGGCTCATTCTAGTGTTCTGCACGTCTATCCTGGTGGAATCGCAACGCATTTTTGAATCACTATAACTGGAAGATAGCCATGTGGGGGGACATCATGCACCATCGCCGCGCGGCAGGAAACCCGGTAATATCATGACAATACTACAGATTTTACTTGTAATTCATAGCTGTGTTTAACTGTTTTTTTTTGCATTTCACACGTAGATTAATAATTATTTATACAGAACGAAATTAAATGTCGGACTCATTCTAGTGTTCCGCACATCTTTCACGGCGGAATCATGACCCATTTTCGAATCGCTACAATCGTATCGATAATGTACGGAGGAATTAACACCACACACCAGGGTGCGAAATTAACGCGAGTCCGGAGTCAAATACTCCGCGATTTTCTGTCCGACTCCCTGATTTGACATATGCAAGAGTCCGTGCGACTCCCTGAAAATTCTGCTATATACTAACTAGTTCGTTCCAGAGCACGGCATCGCGGAATTGCTGTATTTTTTCAGCAAATGTCCAAAGACAATTTGGCAGACGCGCAACCGCATGAATCTTTAAAATAAGCACACGAGTTATTGTTAATATCTTTAGTTTTGAACTTCAGACTGCGAACTCCTTCATTTTGCTGCAGACTCCCTCTTTTTTTCTACCCCTGACACACCATCGCGGCGCGGGGGAAAGCGACGCGCCGTCACCGCGCTGGAGGACGTCTCGGGCGGATGACCTTGAGGTGACTTACGTGCATCGAGTCGACCATCTTGAACCTGCGCGGGTTTCGGCTGCGCGCGAACTTGCAGCCGTTGTAGTACATGCTCCAGGAACAGCCGAACGTGAATGACGCCCCGCACGTGTCCGGGTCCGTGCCCTGACACGCACACGTCTTACTGAGGACGAACAGAGAGACAGACGGGTCGTTAGCGCTCGTTATGTTACATAAGGTTACGTTATATTACATTACGTTACGTATCATTATATGATATTACTCCATATTACATTACATTACGTTATGTATTGTCATGTAACATTACATTACATTACGTTATGTATTGTCATGTAACATTACATTACATTACGTTACGTTACATTACGTATTGTCATGTAACATTACATTACGTTACGTTACGTTACATCATGTTATATTAAATTACATTACGTATTGTTATATGACATTACAGAGCTTGATCAGAGCACGATGCAAGTAATCATCCGGTATCTATCAATATCATCCACATATATCTGTATATGTATGTATGTACATATATATATCATAGCTGTCATATATATCTTACGTACAATCTATATTCTCCTCTTCCCACCCCGTCTCTCTCCTCCTCCTTCCCCCACATGCGCCCTTCTCCCCTCCCCCCAGCACTTACTACTCGTTGATGCCGCAGCGTCGCACGGTCGGAATGCCGTTGGTCACCACCGTCTTGGACACCTTCTCGTAGAGTTCGTCGGCCTGCGCGCGCGGCACGCCTTCCCACACGACGGTTCCCATGATGATGACGGCGTTCTCGCAGCGGTGGTGCGGTCGCTGCTTCACCAGCACCATGTACTTTTCGTCGTACGAGACGCGCCGCAGGATCTGTGCGTGAAAAACGATGTCGCAGTCGGTTAGCGCCGGTCGGTGGCGGCAATTTTTGCTCTTGGACGATCGTCAGAATTTCCCGTAGCGTGGCCAGCGTTGTTCGGACAACTGTCAGCACTCTCGTAGGCTGCCACCCTTTCTCTGATCAAATGATAGTCTTTTGTACGATTGGCGAAAGGGTAACACAGTCGGTTAGTGCTGGATGGTAGCGGCCATGCATCTTAGATTGAATGACCGTCAGAACTTCTTATCTGGCCAGAGGCCGTTATTTTTGTTCGGACGATTGTCAGAAACTTTCGGCGGGTAATTTATGTGCGGATGATTAATTACGGGAATCGGGGACACAAGAATCACATCACGTGATGGCATCATTATCGACGTGAATTATGCAAACTCGTTAACGAGCCGATTCGCGTGCATGCGCTGAACGTTTGTTATCCCAGGCTGCGGCTGGAGGATCACTCACCCATTTCGCGATGGGGCAACCTTGTGCACTGGCGCCCTCTTTTCCCGTGTATCGCAATTTCTCGATGCGGATTGCACTACCGGACGCACCGGTCCTGTTCGAGGAAATTACAAAATACGGATTAGCCGCTGGAATATCTCCGGAGTAAATGTAGCAACAGCACAAGATCAGTTAGGAATAGTCATTCGAGTTTCTTTGCGAAAATTTCCTGACTATCGCTTGTCTACTTTTTTTTTAGCTCACATGCATGGATGAAGAGAAAAATATTAAATGCCAATTATAAGCACAGTATTTATAAGGCTGTACCCTCCCCCTGCCCTACACACTCCCTCCCCCTGCCCCACACACTCCTTTCCCACTGCTCCACACATTCCTTTCGCACTGCTCCCTCCTCCTGCCCCACACACTCCCTCCTCCCCGGTCGGGTGCCTACCTCTCCTCCATCAGCTTCCGGATGCTGGGTATGTCGCAGGCTGAGCCGAGGTGAGTGTAGTAAGGACCCTCAAGCTTCTCGTCATTGATATCTGCACACAGGAGCGAGCGGAGAACGTGAGCACGCGCGGCGGCCGCGACGACGCGAGAAACGCGCATGAGGTGGGATGGTGGGGGGACAGAGAGAGAGAGACGGGGGGACAGAGAGAGAGAGACGGGGGGACAGAGAGAGAGAGAGAGAGAGAGAGAGAGAGAGAGAGAGAGAGAGAGAGAGAGAGAGAGAGAGAGAGAGAGAGAGAGAGAGAGAGAGAGAGAGAGAGAGAGAGAGAGAGAGAGAGAGAG